AGGTGCACAAAGTGTCACTAAGCTATCGATCCAGTTACCTTTCTATTACAGAGTAAAACTGTAACTGGCTGTGACAATATTTTTAAAACACAAAAAAAATTCCACTTATCATAAAAAAAAACCCCAGAAGGATTAAATAGGAAGCTGCCTCCCACCAAGTCAGACCATTCACTCAGTTAACTCAATATGATATGCACTGATCATGAGCAGCTCTGAAATCTTTCATGCAAGGGTCCTTCCCAGACCTTCCTAGAGTAAGAAACAACTGAATCTGAGACCCTCTGCAAACAAAGTCCAGAGCACAGAACAAAGTCCAGAGCACAGACAGAGTTTTGTCCTCTGAAGATGCCTGCCACAGAGACTGGCGAAATGGTAGGAAGAAAAACCTCAAGAACACGGTTAGACAGCCTGAAAAACCTACAACCAACAGCAAAGTACATGACTTAGTCACCAATGTACTTCTCTCCTCCTGTTCAAAAATGTACAGGTGGAAGCCAAAGGAGAAAATAAAAACTGACCCTCAAAAAAGAGCAGAGGACGGAAAGAAAATAATGTATATTCTCTTTAAATAAAATGCATTAGAAAGTCGTGTTCTATGGAAAAGTCTTCAAGGCTGGCTAGACAAAAATTTGAGAACATATGACTGATGTTTACTGAGGGTGTGATAAATACCAGTGCCTATGTATTTGCAAAAATCTTTGCAAAAGCTATTTCCTCAATAAATGACAGAGCTGTGGGTTTTTCCACATCTTTTCAAGACTCTATGAGAAATGGGCAGGTCTATTGCCATAAGGCAGTTTGAGCAAGGCACATACATACTCAAGGCTTCTTGATTAATACACCCATTTTATACATATTGCCATGAGCTTAAAATGTACAGTACAAATATGTGATCTTTTAAACATAGCACTAAGTGCTGTAAAGATATACAGTATCAACAAGAATACAGAAGTCTTCCTAAAAACAGCGGAATTATTCAACCAATTTAGAGTCTGTATCTCTGGCGGGAATATGTAGAACACCGCAAAACCCTGGAATGTCTGGTACCTATTCTATGATTGTAATGCATTTGTGAGAGCAGACAGTCGAAGGCGAAGGACACCAAAGAATGCCCATTTTGAATAGTAGCTATGATTTTGAGAAGGAGCCATCTGCTCCATGGTGAAGGGTTATGGCCCTGTGGTACAACATGCATGCTGCAGAGGTTACATTCCTGGCAGAACCAACTGAAAGGAACAGGTTGCAAGTAGCTTTCCAGAACAGACAATATTGGGATAGATGTACAAATACTCTAAATTTGATATCACACAGCTTCCTGCATTTGTGGCAGGGATATGTCTGCATTAAACATAGTCTTCCATTAAAATTGGCTGTTAACATAAATCAATATACTTGAACTGATATAAGCAACTGGAGATCAAGTGAGGAGGAAAAACTCACTGCAAAGAGGGAGAAATGAATAAGGAAGAGAGGATCTGTTGACTATCATCAGTGAAACACATTCTAAGAGAGTTCAGTACTGTACTGTGTATATGAAATGGATGAATACATTCAATATAGTTTTTCATCTATTTCTGCAGTTTAAATACCTGGAACTACCCTTTCCCCCCCCAAAATAAGACCTAATCTGATAATAAGGCCTAGTATAATTTTTCAGAATGCTTGTAATATAAGCCCTACCCCCAAAATAAGCCCTATTTAAGTGAAACCCCGCCCTCTAACATTGTGCAGCAACCAGAAAAAGATGACATGACTATATTTGAATAAATGTAATTATTGTACATGAAAAGAAAACATTCCCTGAAAATAAGCCCTACTGCATTTTTGGAGCAAAAATTAATACAAGACCCTGTCTTATTTTTGGGGAAACACGGTATTTACCATACATTTTTGAGAAAGAAAGAGAGAGAGAGAAAGCAGGCAGAGAGAGCCCGACCTCGAAATCTCAGAAGTACCTTTCCGGACAGCCACTTTGAAGTCAGCAACCCAGTTCCCATCCTTCCCATGTCCAGCAGCCAAACCCTGTTCTGCATATGCAATTTCTTCACCACACCCTTCTTCTTCCTTCTTAGCTTGCCATGGGGGAGGAAGGGGGCATGCTACTAAACAACAACGTCTACTAGGGGCCGGATCTGGCCCAGGGGCCTATTTTTCCCCACCCCTACCATGCTCAGTATCCTGCATAAACGGTGGGGAGAGAGAGAAATAGAGTGAGATAATGGCCTGGTGATGCTTTGCCATCAAAGACAGAGAAAGAGAGAGAATCTTTTAGAAATATTGCTGCAGAAAGTGGGGAATGGATTCTGGGGGGGCTACCTCATCCCTTCCCGATTCCAAACCCGAAATTAAACTGGAGGGATCATGAAGCCCTAGGGCTGTTGTTCCCCTGAAAGATTATTTGGCAAATCACTACTTATATCATTAGCTAATGCTTTGTTTGTTCATTCTATGTGGGGGGGAAGAGAGAGCTCCATCTTGGAGGGGTGGAGATGAGATATTTGGGTCCAACACCCCCCAATGTCACCCCGACACAAATCTTTGCATATGAGATAGGAAGGAAAGGTTTAGAGAAAAATCACAGAATATCTGTTTCTCATCTCAAGAGGTCTTGAAACA